ATCACTACGACAAGGTCCTAAATGCACTAGAAGACAAAAAGAATGCAGATGTAATATATACAGACTTTGCAAAAGCCTTCGACAAGTGTGACCATGGCGTAATAGCGCACAAATGCGTGCTAAAGGAATAACAGAAAAGTCGGTCGATGGATCTATAATTTCCTCACTAACAGAACACAGAGAGTAGTCGTCAACAGAGTAAGTCGAGGCAGCTACGGTGAAAAGCTCTGTTCCACAAGGCACAGTATAGCTCCCATCTTGTTCCTCATCCTCATATCCGACATAGACAAGGATGTCAGCCACAGCACCGTGTCTTCCTTTGCAGATGACACCCCAATCTGCATGACAGTGTCTTCCATTGCAGGGCACTGCAAGGCTCCAGGGGGGACATCAACCAAATCTTTCAGTGGGCTGCGGAAAACAATATGAAGTTCAACGATGAGAAATTTCAATTACTCAGATATGGTAAACATGAGGAAATTAAATCTTCATCAGAGTACAAACAAATTTGGCCCCAAAATAGAGCGAAACACCAACGTCAAAGACCTGGGAGTGATTATGTCGGAGGATCTCACCTTCAAGGACCATAACATTGTATCAATCGCATCTGCTAGAAAAATGACAGGATGGATAATGAGAGAACCTTCAAAACTAGGGAGGCCAAGCCCATGATGACACTCTTCAGGTCACTTGTTCTATCTAGGCTGGAATATTGCTGCACTCTAAAGCACCTTTCAAGGCAGGTGAAATTGCCGACCTAGAAAATGTACAGAGAACTTTCACGGCGCACATAACGGAGATAAAACACCTCAATTACTGGGAGCGCTTGATGTTTCTAAACCTGTATTCCCTGGAACGCAGGAGGGAGAGATACATGATTATATACACCTGGAAAATCCTAGAGGGACTAGTACCGAACTTGCACACGAAAATCACTCACTACGAAAGCAAAAGACTTGGCAGACGATGCACCATCCCCCCAATGAAAAGCAGGGGTGTCACTAGCACGTTAAGAGACCATACAATAAGTGTCAGGGGCCCGAGACTGTTCAACTGCCTCCCAGCACACATAAGGGGGATTACCAACAGACCCCTGGCAGTCTTCAAGCTGGCACTGGACAAGCACCTAAAGTCAGTTCCTGATCAGCCGGGCTGTGGCTCGTACGTTGGTTTGCGTGCAGCCAGCAGCAACAGCCTGGTTGATCAGGGGCTGATCCACCAGGAGGCCTGGTCACAGACCGGGCCGCGGGGGCGTTGACCCCCGAAACTCTCTCCAGGTAAACTCCAGGTAAACAGCACCGTGTCTTCCTTTGCAGATAACACCCGAATCTGCATGACAGTGTCTTCCATTGCAGACACTGCAAGGCTCCAGGTGGACATCAACCAAATCTTTCAGTGGGCTGCAGAAAACAATATGAAGTTCAACGATGAGAAATTTCAATTACTCCGATATGGTAAACATAAGGAAATTAAAACGTCATCAGGGTACAAAACAAATTCCTTCCACAAAATAGAGCGAAAAACCAACGTCAAAGACCTGGGAGTGATCATGTCGGAGGATCTCGCCTTCAGAGGGGCCCGCTATCACGCCTAGCATGACTAGGCATTTCGGGTAGACTAAGATTAATTCAAACTCTATATGGGTACAGATTATGGAGCATGTTGATATTAAGGTTAGGTAACTGCATTACATTTCGTAAATTTAGCTTGGTACGATTCGTAGTTTCTCTTAAAGCTCCTATATTGGAGTATCTCAGGCAAACTTATGACTAGTTTAAGATTCATTAGGTATTAGTTTTATTACGTATTTCTATGTTTACAGTCAATTGGGTGAGAGTAAGTGTGAATTGTGGTGAATCACAGACATCGAGAGTAGGTCCAGGTTGTTTTTCATGTGTGTATGATGCAAGAGAATAGGTGGTTATTATGTAGTTAGCTTATGGTGGGGTGTGTCAGGGAGATAAGAAGTTTTCTAACGATAGTTTTGAAAGTGATGGTTGTGTCTGTAGTTCTAGAGTTTTCAGGTAGGGTGTTTCAGATTTTAGGTCCTTTTATGTACATTGAATTTTTGTATAGGTTTAGCCGGACATGGGGAATGTCATAGAGGTTTTTGTGCCTGGTGTTATGCCTGTGGGTCCTGTACTCAACTATCAAGAAAGTGTTTTAGTTCAGGGTTAATATTGGAATTTAAGATTCTGTAAAAGTAGGTTGCACAGTAGTAAGTGTGGATGTTCTGTTCAGTGAGTAAGTTTAGAGCTTAGAAGAGTTGGGAGGTAGGGTGTTGCCTGGGATTGTACTGCGTGATTATTCTTACTTCTACTTTTTGTTGGGTTATTATTGGATTTAGGTGTGTTGCTGCTGTTGATCCTCAGGCACAAATAGCATAGGTGAGGTAGGGATAGATGAGTGAATAGTATAGTGTGAGTAGGGCTGATCGTGGCACGTAGTAACATATCTTGGAGAAGATTCCAACCGTTTTGGATACTTTTTTTATGTGTTGGATATGGGTGCTGAAATTCAGGTTGCTGTCGAGGTGTAGGCCTAGGAATTTGTCCTCATTATGTTTGGCAATAAGAGTGTTGTTGATCTTAATGTTAAGTTTTGCATCACCTGCTCTGTTACCAAACATAATATAGAAGATTTTGTCAGTGTTAAGTGTAAGTTCATTGGCTGTCATCCAAGTAGATATTTTTAGTAGCTCCTCGTTAACAATAGTGTTGAGTGTGGCAAGATTTGGGTGGGAGATGACATAAATCGTGTCGTCAGCAAAGGTTTCAGGTGTTGTGAAACATTGGGAAGATCATTTATGTATACCAGGAAGGACAGAGGACCAAGGACACTTCCCTGTGGCACTTCAGTATCAAGTGGCCGTGTTGAAGAGGTTGTGTCTTTAATGGTGACGTACTGATACCTATTAGTAAGGTAGGATTTGAAATATGCAAGTGCATGGCCTCTTATACCATAATAGTCAAGTTTGTGGAGTAGGATGCCATGGTCTACTGTGTCGAAAGCTTTTCTTAGGTCAATAAAAAGTCCTAATGGATATTTCTTATTTTCCAGTGCTGTGTAAAGCAGATCTAGCATTTTTACAATTGCATCTTTGTGCTTTTATTTTTTCTGAAGCCAAATTGGCAGAGGACGAGTATGCTTTGTGCTGTTATAAACTAATATAATCTCTTGTGCACGAGTTTCTCACTTCTTGAGGTGCGCACCCTCCTTAGCAAATACGACTTACTCCTCAGATCTATCTTTAAAAAGGTACTGAATCTGTCACTGGAAGATCAGCAATGGGATCAGGCAATTCTTCCAGTGCAACTGGGAGGTATATGGGTGCGAAAGGTAACGAAGGTAGCTTTACCTGCATTTCTGTCCTCGTGCATGGCTTCCAGTGGACTAGTCAAGGATATTGTCCCCGAACACTTGACAGGTGCGGTAGGAGCTCAAGACCCCAGGTTCACTGAAGCAGCCAGACGGTGGGACACCCTTGCAGACTCCTCCAGCAGACTAGCGCCTCCCAAACAGCACAAACAGTCCTACTGGGACAAACCGATCATAGAAAAAATTGCCACCACAATGCTCAACAACACTTCAGGAGAGGACAAAGCTGGTCCACTAGCGGTGAAGTTACCACATTCAGGAGATTTCCTTTTAGTTGGTCCCAACTCTCCCCTGGGCACCCGACTCAACCCACAGGTTATTCAGATTGTTGTTGCTCTTCACCAAGCATCAGAAGGGAAGTATGCTAGACATGAGGTCAACGATATCATGAAGAGAAGTCTTGCCACAGCCCTTTGCCCAGCTCAATGGGAACCCCAAGTACAGAGGTTTGACAGAAGTCAAAAGCGTTCAGATGGCGCCACTATGCTACCCTTAAAGGATGGTAAGCAGATTGCCTGGGACTACACCTTTGCTGCCACGTTGGCGGACACCTACTCGTCTTACTCTGAAGTTGAAGGGGGTGGAGCCGCCAGTTACAGGGAGAACCATAAGATCTGTAAATATGACGACCTGTCCCCTTGCTATAACTTCATCCCAGTAGGGTCGGAGACCCTTGGAGCATGGGGCAAGTGTGCTCTAAAGTTTCTCAGAGAGCTGGGTGAAAAGCTCATCAGAGAAGCCAAGGATCACAGGGCAGACAGCTTCCTCTTTCAGAGACTCAGTGTTGCAATCCAGAGGGGAAATGCCTGCAGCATTCTGGGCACACGGTCTGCCGCCGGGAAGCTGGATAAAGTATTTGAGATGTTGTTGATGTTAAGATAAGATAAGATTTCGTTCGGATTTTTAACCCTGGAGGGTTAGCCACCAAGGATAACCCAAGAAAGTCAGTGGGTCATCGAGGACTAACTTATTTCCATTGGGGTCCTCAATCTTGTCCTCCAGGATGCGACCCACACCAGTCGACTAACACCCAGGTGTCTATTTGCTGCTAGGCGAACATGACAACAGGTATAAGGAAACGTGTCGAAATGTTTCCACCCGTCGGGAACCGAATCCGGACCCTGCGTGTGTGAAGCCGGAGCTTTAGCCACCAGGCCACCGGACCTCATTCCTTTTATTTCTTTGTTAATGTATTTTGTTTATAAATAAAGTTTACATACAATATAGAATATAAGGGGTGGTAGAAGAAAATATTCAAACGCTCCGGGAAGAATCTCAAGTTTTTCCTGAAGTAAGTTTATTCTTTTCTCTGAGGATGAGCATCCCCAGGACAGTTCCAGAGGTGGTACCTCCATGTAAGTAAGTTCATTCAGGTATACACAAATATAGTTACATGGATTATCATACATAGCAGAGTATGTGTAGAGAACCTAAGATAACCCAAAAAAGTCAAAGTGACTTATTTCCATAGGGTATATTAATATATATATATATATATATATATATATATATATATATATATATATATATATATATATATATATATATATATATATATATATATTTATTTATTTATTTATTTATTTATTGAAATCTTTGTGATGTATACAGTTCAGGTGGCAGCTGGTGTAGGGAATCGGACACAGTGTTGACAACTTTCAAACAGGAACATCAGCTGTTGCTCCTCAATTTCACCTCAACTGGGTTTCAGCGCTACAAGAGCCAAGTAACTTTTTTCTTTTTACAGTAAGCCGTTTTAAAATTTGTTATTCAAACTATGATAGCTGTGAAAAATGGCTCTTTGTGATTATATAAATATTACAGCTGTGTTATCAAGACATTTTCAAAGTTGCTTCTGTGATGGTGCAGGACTTTTTAATAAGAAAAATTGGAGCCACGTTTCCTCTTCCTTGGATTAAAGCAGGTTGTCTCCCACCTCCCAGGCACTGTGCTGGCCCTACGGGTTAAGCTCTTCCCCTTGAAGATTATCATAGCGTTTCAAATAACCCGTCAAGGAAGTTTCCTTGAGGCAGGTAAGGGGCTCTTGATTCGAAGAACTGGAGCTATACTCCTCTTCCTCGGATCCTGTTTGACCCTAGTGGGTTTAGGACTTAGTTTTGATTGTTATAATAATAATCTTCCTTAGATCAAACTTGACTGCCTTCAGTTCCCCCAGGCTCTGTATGACCCCTGTGGATTTACCACTATGACTAATACCTTTCCTTGGATCAAACCTGAATATTTCCCATCTCCAAGGCTCTGTAAGTCCCCTGAAGGTTTAGAGCTCCTTTCATGAGCAGGGTAGCATTATTCTCCATTTGAATGAATAGGTATCAGATTATACCTTCATGGAGGTATGCTGTTTTTTGTTAAAGGGTTCTTGCTCCAAGGAATTTGAGCAATTCTTTCCTCAGATCAGACCTTATTATCCCTCAACAGCAAACTTTTCCCAGTGACTTATTTTATATAGTATCTTTAATACTCCACTCTGGGTGTATTTAATGTTAGTAAGGATTTTTGTTTTGAGAAACTGGATGTTTCCTCCCATTCCTTGGATCAAGCCTGATTGCCTTCCCTTCCCCACGTGCTGAATAACCCCTATATGTTTAATGCTTCTTGATTAAAAAGAAATATATTTTTATTAATTATTTATTTCTACTTATTTTAATTTATTAATATTAGTTATTCTTATGATATTAGGTTTTTCTATTTATTACAGTATTCTCATTTTAATATTTCCTTTTTTTGTTACTGTGTAAAATATGCTTTACTTATTGTGCTCCTTTTGTTTAGGACTGTTGAGGAAGGTAATGATGGATGATGTTACACCAAGATTGGCACCACCACCTAAACCAACCACCCTTGAGGTACTGCAATCTGCACTGACTGGCGGTGAAAGACTGTCAGTAGTTGGACTTAACATTTTGTTCGGGTTTTTAACCCACAGGATTTGTTTGATTGGAGTACGCACATAAGAGTCTGTTAATATTTAAGAAAAAATATCTACAATATAGCTTCCTTTTGATAAATTAGACACGTATGTGCAACACTGGTATCTTCATTGTGGAAATTTTTTTTGCTACAGTAGCTTCATCAGTCCAATACAAAGAAGAATACTTCAGGACTGGAACCAAGGTTCTAGGACCAAAATGTTTCCATTAAACATAAATTTGCTCCATTTTGTGTTTTACCACTACTTGTCAGTCTACTTTGTCATCTTAAAAAGCTACAACAAAAAATGTAGGCACCAGAGTAATAAATACATCCTCAATGGGTATCTGATGTGTTAAACTGAATCTTAGTAGAAACCCCATGTAATTTTAGGGTTTAAAGGTATGAGACGTACTGTACCTAAAGAAATTAAGTGTTGTAAGCCACAAAGACATTATATTATGTAATTTCCTGAGTATTTCTTAATACAGTAGCTCTTATTCTTACACATTTCTTTTACAATTTAGAACTGTTCTGAGGGAGGGCTGCCGGGGCAACCATCCCAGAAACCATTAACAGATAATGGATGCTAATTTAGTGTTTTCTTTTTCTCGACTCCTGTGTAAATGCTCTTGTATATTTTAAAACTAAATTTATTTTTATCTTTTTTTGCAGCCCAGGCATTTATACTCATTACTTCAATCTTTGTATTAATGCTTTAAATATTTATTTTACAGTATTATTAAAATAATGTTACCTTTTTAGGGTTGCTCGAAATGCTGTTTATCTGGAGTTTATCTGGAGAGAGTTCCGGGGGTCAACGCCCCCGCGGCCCGGTCTGTGACCAGGCCTCCTTAGGTCAGTGTCCCAGGATGCGACCCACACCAGTCGACTAACACCCAGGTACCCATTTTACTGATGGGGAACATAGACAACAGGTGGAAAGAAACACGTCCAATGTTTCTACTCTGGCTGGGAATCGAACCCAGGCCCTCACCGTGTGAAGCGAGAGCGTTAACCACCAGGCCACCAGAGCCCTGTGAATAGTATTTTTTCATACATTATGACTAAATTGTAATGGCAATAATGTAAATATTAAATTCCTCTTCAAAATAACATGCTGGCCATGTCCCACTGAGGCAGGGTGAACCCCCCCCCCTTTCCAAGAAGAAAAAAAAAGGAAATGCTGTCACCATCATTCACACTATCACTGTCTTTTCTGAGGCACACAGATTAAACAGTTGACATATCACTTCAAACAGCCAATGTCCCAAACCCCTCCTTTGAAGTGCAGGAATTGTACTTTCCACCTCCAGGACTTTAGACCAGCTAACTGATTTCCCTGAATCCCTTCACAAAATATTACCCTGCTCTCACTCCAACAGCTTGTCAAGTCCTAGAAACCATTAGTCTCCATTCACTCCTATCTAACACGCTCACATGTGCCTGCTGTATATCCAGGCCCCTTGTATACAGAACATCTTGTACCCTCTCCCTCCATCCTTTCCTAGACAACCCCTACTCCTCCTTCCCACCACTACAGATTTATACACCCTCCAAGTAGTCTCTAAATGACCAAACTACCTCAACAACCCCTCCTCAGCCCTCCACACCACCACCTAATTTCTACACAAATTCTCTGCATAATATTTACACCACACGTTGCCTTTAGACACAACATCTCCACTGCCTCCAGCCTCCTTGCTGCAGCGTTCACAACCCATGCTTCACACCCATATAAGAATGTTGGTACCACTATACAGTGGACCCCCGGTTAACGATTTTAATCCGTGCAAGAGGGATAATTTTTATGCAAATAATCGTTATGCGAATGATTTTCCCCATAAATATGGAAATACCTTAATCCGTGCAGACGACCAAAAGTATGAAAAATTTTTTTTTACCACATGAAAGTTATTTTAATACACCAAACAAAAAGGCATGCAAATTACATGACACTTCTTTATTGAAAATCTGGTGTGATTGATGGATGGGAGGATGGGAGAGCATTATCTTCTTACTGTTTAGAAGGGGAATCCCCTTCCATTACGACTTGAGTAGCAAGTCCTTTTCGGGTACTTCCCTTCTTCTATTACCACTAGGACCAGTTGAGAGTCACATGGACCTCTGTCGCACAACAAATCTGTCCATAAGCTCTTCCTCCCGTTCCTTTACATTTGTCTAAAATGGCCCACAACATTGTCATTGAAATAGTCACCCACGGCTTGCAAACAGCTGTCAGGGTGATTTCATCTATAAGGTTTGCAGTTCAAACCCACTGTGCACACATTCCTTAATCTTTGAATAGGCACATGATTCCACAACTGCATAGGCTTCTCAGGTTAGCCCCAAACCCTTCAAAATCTTTCTTAATTTCCATACTAATTCTCACCCTTTTACCACAGGTTGCACTAGAAGCTTTCTTGGGGCCCATGGTCACTTATTTTCAGAAACACACCGAAAAACACTTAATACGAAATATTCCGAGTGTATGCTTGGATGTTACCGCGGAGGCTGGCTGGTAAACAATGGGACGGGCGGCACATGTGAGGGCACATTGGACGCGTCTCGGACGAAAATCGGTGAGCGTGTTTTCATCGGTTGCGCGGCAAAAATTTCAATAAAGTAAGCGTTCAAACCGCTATAGTGATGCATGTTATGCGGGGGTCCACTGTACTCTCAAACATTCCTTTCTTTGCCTTCATGGGTAACGTTTTTTGTCTCCACAGATACCTCGATGTACTTCCCACCTTTTATCCTTCAATTCTGTGGTTTACCTTGTTCTTCATAAACCCATTCACCGACAAGTTTACTCCCCAAATATCTGAACACATTCACTTCTTCCATACCCCATTCTTCCAGTCTGATATCCAGTTTTTCTTTACCTAACTTGTTTGATACCCCTCATCACCTTATTTCCTTTGCACACCCTCCCAAACTCATCCACTAACCTTTGCAAGTTCTCTTCAGAATCTCCCAAAAGCACAGTAACAGAATCTCCTAAAAGCACAGTATCATCAGCAAAAAGTAACTGTGTCAACTCCTCTTTTATATTTGATTTCCCATAATTTAATCCTACCCTTCCCCAACACCCTAGCATTTACTTTTTACAACCCCCTTCTATAAATATGTTAAACAACCATGGTGACATTACATATCCCTGTCTAAGGTCTACTTTACCTAACCTAGCCTACCCCTACTAACCTGAACATTGCTATCCTCATAAAAACTGTACAGCATTTATTAACTTGCTACCTATTCCATACAGTTGCAAAATCTGCCACATTGTTCCTCCTATCCACCCTATCATATACATTTTCTAAATCCATAAATGCAATGAAAACTTCCCTACCTTTATCTAAATATTGTTCACTTGTATCCTTCAATGTAAGCAGTTGGGCTACCCATTCTAATGCTTCATTGTTCATCTGTGATCCTGCTCTCTGTCTTCCCTCTAAATCATTCAATAATAAATAACCCTACCATACACTTTACCTGGTATACTCAGTATCCTTATTCCTGGAGTTTACCTGGAGAGGGTTTCGGGGGTCAACACCCCCGTGGCCCGGTCTGAGACCAGGCCTCATTGGTGGATCAGGGTCTGATCAACCAGGCTGTTACTGCTGGCCGCACACAAGCTGACGTACATACTTTTGTCCTCCTTCCCTTTGCATCAAGGAACTATGCACGCTCTGCCAATCCTTAGGTATCTTTCCCTCTTTCACACATTTATTTAACAAAAGTACCTACCACTTCCAAACCATATTCCCACCTGCTTTTAACATTTCTTTCATGATCCCATCATTCCAGCTGCTTTACCCCCTTTCAGTAACAAAAAAAGGCACAATACCGTGACTGGAATGATACACAAATAACCCGCACATAAAAGAGAGAAGCTTACGACGACGTTTTGGTCCGACTTGGACCGTTGTCAATGGTCCAAGTCGGACCGAAATGTCGTCGTAAGCTTCTCTCTTTTATGTGCGGGTTATTTGTGTATTACCCCCTTTCATTCTACCCACTGCCTCGCGCATCTCCTCCACACTCGCATCTGGCTCTTCTTCACTCCTAATAATTTTTTTTTTTTCAACAAGTCGGCCGTCTCCCACTGAGGCAGGATGACCCAAAAAGAAAGAAAATCCCCAAAAAGAAAACACTTTCATCATCATTCAACACTTTCACTTCACTCATACATAATCACTGTCTTTGCAGAGGCATCCAGATACAACAGTTTAGAAGCATATATAAAGATATGTAACATATTCCTCCAAATTGCCAATATCCCAAACCCCTCCTTTAAAGTGCAGGCATTGTACTTCACATTTCCAGTACTACTCCAGTCTGGCTATATAAAAATAACCGGTTTTCCTGAATCCCTTCACTAATTATTACCCTGCTCACACTCCAAAGGCTCATCAGGTCCCAAAAACCATTCATCTCCATTCATTCCTATCTAACACGCTCATGCACGCTTGCTGGAAGTTCAAGCCCCTCGCCCACAAAACCTCCTTTACTCCCTCCCTCCAACCTTTTCGAGGATGACACCTACCCTGCCTTCCTTCCCTTACAGATTTATACTCTCCCCAAGTCATTCTACTTTGATCCATTCTTTCTGAATGACCAAACCACCTTAACAACCCCTCTTCAGCCCTCTGACTATTACTTTTAACTCAACACTCCAAATTCTCTGCATAATATTTACACCACACATTACCCTTAGACAAAACATCTCCACTGCCTCCAGCCGCCTCCTTGCAGCAGCATTTACAACGCAAGCTTCACACCCAGACAAGAGTGTTAGTACTACTGTACTTTCATACATTCCCTTCTTTGCCTCCATGGATAATGTTTTTTGTCTCCACAAGTACCTCAACGCACCACTCGCCTTTTTTTCTTCATCAGTTCTATGATTAACCTCATCCTTCATGAACCCATC